CACACACACACACACACACACACACACACACACACACACACACACACACACACACACGCACGCACACACATATACAGAGGAGTGCACACATAAAAACAGACAGCAGCAGCAGCAGCACAAAGACAGGCCGCCTGAACAATTGGAGGAAAGCACAAGTGGCACCAACACCATAGGGTCACTCTCCATCCTCACCATTGTGTACGTTTTTCCTGCACCTGTCTGCCCATATGCCAGAATGCAAACGTTGTAGCCATCAAATGCAGACTGCACAAACTGCTGCGCCTCAGAGAACAATTCCGCTGCATCCAAAGCGCATTAACCAAGACAGTTTTGAGCTTCCTAGTATGGGCATCCGCACAAAAAGCAGGGAACCATTAGACAGCTCCCAATTGCTGCTATCACTCTACTCCGATCACTGAATCTATATAGTTCCAATTAACCACTCAGCCACTCTCCCGAAGAATTTGACATCCCACAGGACTTGATCCTGTGACCTTCAACTTAGAAGGCTGTTGCCTTATCCAGCTGAGCTAAGAACGCAACTCACCCAAAAGAGTCAACACAGCGCCACAACGAAACAAGCAGCTTATTTTATTTACGAACGCACTCATCCACACCGTGTTTGAACTCTGTCAGGAACCAATTGCTGAAACGTCACTGAATCTCTGGGGTTCCAATTACTGAAACTTTCGGATGCGAGTACACGACCCCCTGATACCCCCACACCCCATAAGGTATATTCACCAGACATACTAGCCACCTGTGAACCTTCAAAGAACAAGAAATTGGATTAAACTGGACAACAAAACAAAACAAAGCTCCATTTTCATGCAGGGGGGGGGTGGGGGGGGTATGGAGGAGAAGAAGGACAAAGACGCTTCCGGTGCCCATTTCGCAATTTCCAACAAAATCTTCAGCAATTCAATCTGTGTTCAGGATACACACCCGAAGTTCAAAAAAAAAAATATACACATACAAACCCCACGATAGAATTCAGAAAAGAGCAACTCGCCTCTGGATGACAAACAAATGCAACACCGCGTCATAACTACCCTGAAAGTGGTTAAGCCAGCCACAACCTTCTTTATCTAAACAAGTGGACTCAACCGGGATGAAAAGCCGATAATGATGAATTGAATAAGAGAGAGATCAAATTGATCTCTCTTATTCAATTCATTCAGAGTCACAAAGCACAAAAAAAAACAGAAAAAAGAAGAAAAGGAAGGGACAGCGATGCAGGGCCGGTGCGGGAGCAGACGGTGGGGGAGCCGGGGTGGTTGCGTGATCAGGGCAGAGTCGGGGGGAAGTGGAGCGAGGCGGAGCGGAGTAGGGTGAAATCGGGCTGTAAGGATGTCGGGATCGGAGTGGGGGGTCGCG